GCATATCCAGACAACCCTGGATTTAAAAGAATGTATAGGATTGGATAAGAAGAGAAAGGGAAGCTTGTGGTAGATACCAAGTGCTCAGAACTCTGGAAGTCTGAGAGACGTATAGAAAGTGCAGGAGGTTGCTTAAAAAAATAAATTCAGGAAGTGAAGTGGGGGTATGACAGTACACTGGCAGGTAAAATAAAGAAAAATCCAAAGGCATTTACAGCGATGTTGATGGCAAGAGGATGACCAGGAAAGAGTAGAGCTGATCAGAGAGTAAAGTGGCAAACTGCGAGGAGCCAGAAGACATAGCTGAGATCTTAAATGAGTATTTTATCTGTATTCATTGTAGTGAAGGACAGTGTAAATAGAGAAATCAGGGAGGGGTACAGTGATATACTTGAACAAATTCCAACTGAAAGAGAGGGAGTATTAACAGTTTTAACTGTCTTAAATTTGGATAAATCTCCAGGGCTGGATAACATGTATTCTGAGCTCCTGTGGGAAGCATGGGAGGAGATTATAGGAGCCCTGGCATTAATTTTCAAAGCATCTCTGGACACAAGAAAGGTACTAGAGGACTGAAGGACAGCTAATGGGTTACGTTGTTCATGGAGTGTAGTAGGGTTAAACCAGTAAGTCTAACATCAGTGGCAGGGAACCCTTTGGAAAAAGTTCCGAGCATTGAATTAATCTTCGTTTGAAGAGACAAGGATTAATCAAGAATATTCAGCATACTGTTGTCAGGGGGGAGATAATGTCTGACAGCTTTCATTGAGTTTTTTTGAGAAGGTGAGGATAGTGCATATGCTGTAGTCCACATAGACTTTTGTCACACTATCATATGAGCAACTCGTCAGCAGATAAAAACCCGCTGGCACATTGAATCCAAAATTAGCTGAGTGGCAATAGGCGAGAGGGTGATGGGTATAAGTTGTTTTTGTGATTAGAAATCTGTGTCCAGTGACATACTGCAGGGTTTGGTGCTGGGTCCTTTACTGTTTGTAGCATGTATTAATAATTTAGATACAAATGTAAGAGGTTTGATCAGTAAGTTTGCAGATGACACACAAATTGCTGATGTGCTAAATAGCAAGGATGAAAGCCTTGAACAACAGGGAAATATTGACAGGCTTGTCACCCGCCTTTAAGTCTGTATTCAACTAACAGACTCAAACTACAACCCAGACTTCACGGCACTGGCGGATAATATGTACTCTCATGTGTAACTCTGAGACCTGGTGATTTCAGAACAAAATGAATAATTATGTATATTTGTTTTTAAATCGATATAGCTTTAAAAATAAACAATTTATTCAATATTTTCTTGGCGGCAGTACCTGTGATGCACTTAAATTCAAAAGTGATCTTGTGCTTAAACAGATCAGAGACCACTGCCTTAGATTGAAGAAATTTCTCCTCACTATAATCCTAAGACTGGTATGAATCATACAGTGCAGAAGAGGTGCATTCAGACCACCACCGAAAAATCACTCTAAATCTACACTAGTCCCATTTTCCAGCACTTGGCCCATAGTCTTGAATGTTATGACATTTCAAATGCTCATCCAAGTACTTTTTAAAGATTGTGAAGTTTCCTGCCTCAACTACCCTCCCGGTATTGCATTCCAGATTCCCACAATTCTCTAGGTGAAAAAAATGCCTTTCACATTAAAATTATGTCCCCATGTTATTGATCTGTTAACTGAGGGGAACTGCACCTTTCTATCCACCCTGTCCAAGCTGCTCAGAATCTTATACACCTCAGTCAGGTCCCCTCTCAGCCTTCTCTGCTCCAAAGGAAAAAAAAAACCTGAGCTTATCCAGCCTCTCTTCATAGTTAAACTGCTTCATCCCAGGCAACATCCTTGAAAATCTCTTCTGTACCCCCTCCAGTGCAATCACATCCTTCATATAGTGCAGTGAGCAGAACTGCACGTAGTTCTCAAACTGTGGCCTGACTAATGTCTTGTACTGCTCCAACATAACCTTCACTACCCTATTAGCCAATCCTGTAGAAGACAGGGTGGGGAGAGGCAGTAAGGAGTAAACGATAGGTAGAGATAGAGCCTAAAGAGAGAGAGGAACAGTTCTACAGACAAAGGAGTGAATAATAATCAGCCTGGGAGAATGATAATTATTAGTGGACAGCTAGTAGCTATGCAACCTATCTTCTGCATAGAAACAACCTTTTCCTAGCAATCATCAAGTCTGAGGAAGGATCACTGAACCTGAAACATGAACTCTGATTCCTCTCCACAGATGCTGCCAAGCCTGCTGAGCCTTTCCAGCAATTTCTATTTTTGTTTCTGATTTCCAGCATCCGCAATTCTTTCGTTTTCTACTCACAAAGCCTCACTTAAAGACCCGTCCAAGATATCATACCTCCTTACGCAGTAACTGATCCTTAATGATGTAACATCACCTCTTTTACACCCTCCCCTATCCTGCTTGAAGATCCTATGCTTCGGAATGTAGAGTTGCCCCCGACTCTCCCTCAACCATGTCCCTGAGTAGGCAACAACATTGCAGTTCACATTTTTTAAATTTGCAGCAATTCACAACCTGAAGGAATGAGACTATATTTATAATCATTTACTTTCTGTGTATGAAAGTCTGATTGGCAGTCCTGAGCACATTGTTAAGAGCTGCATATACTGATGAGTTCCAAGCTTAACTCTGTCATAAGTTTGATGGGCAATTGATGTGCCAAAGCAACAATGTCATCAAAATCACGTGAAGGGAAGTCCAAGGCATAATTTTTGCAAATCGTATCCAACTTGGAAATGGCACAAGTTGGAAAGCGAATTGTGGTAATTCATGGAGTGTACTTTCCTCATGACAAATTGTTGGCTGCTTTGAATATTAATAACTGTGTTCTTACAGACTTCATTACTCTTTTCAGCACCTCTGGCTCAGTGTTTCACAGATGTTCTGTCTTTGCAGCTATAGATAATGTTACTTTGATTGGCATGGATTAAGATAACTCAATCCTCAACAGTTTTTGTTTTCTTTTTCTGCCTTAACTGAACTTAGGCAGGCACACTCCCTGTCATTCCCATGTTCTGAAGTTGGTCTCTGATGTCATAACTATCAGGAGAGACCAATCTAACTGAAGCTTTTTATTGAAAAAGAGCAAAACTGAGTGGAGATTTTTGCAAATTATGAAAGGTTTATTAGAGAAGATGTTTCCATGTGTGGAGGAGTCCAAAACCAGCAAACATAAATATAACAAAGTCACTAATAAATCCTATAAGGAATTCATGAGAAACATCTGCATCATAAAGTGGTCAGAACATGGAACATACCACTGCAGTCATCAAAGCAAAGCATTTACAGGGAAACTAGATAGGTACCTGAGGGAGAAAGGAATAGCAGGATACGTTGATGTAGGGCATTAACAGGCATAAACACAGGCAACGATCATTTGGGCTGAATGACTGATTTCTGTAAATTAAACTTATTAACATTTTCTTGTCCGCAGCCTTTTATGAGTCTTTTTCTTAAGTAGGTAGTGATTTCATCTCAAAACTACTAGCATGATCATCTTGGGTCAAAATTTAAATTGTCATCACCTTTGAGTTTCTATGCATTTGTAGCTATTTGAGGATATACAGTTAAAGACTTGTACTTCTCTAGTTAATGCAAATGACAGTTGTTGCTGCGATTTTAAAAACAAATCAACAATTTTGTGTATTAGCTGTCTACTTAACCTTTGTACAGTTTACTTTATATTTTCAAAAAAGTGAACACTGTTGCACATAACCAACGAGGAGCAACTGCCCAATGCTAGAGCAAATTAACTTAAATCCAAGGGCAGTATCATGGATGCTATTAAAATAAATTCCAGAACTTATTGCAGGATATATAGAATTTCTTGACTTCACTTGTCCCTAAATTCTGCTATGATGGAATTTGGTAGGTGGGGAACCCTGAGCTCATATTAGTATTCTGCCTCTTTGGAATATTGAATTCATTATTTGAGATTTGGGCAATTATAGCATTTGTTTACCATCTCTAATTTGCTCTTGGATTGGTGGCTTGCTAGGCCATTTCAGAGGGAATACTCAACTTTGCCTGCTCAACAATAAGAGATATTGTAATTGTGGTTGGTTCGCTCGCCGAGCTGGGTCGTTGTTCTGCAGATGTTCATTACCCTGCTGGGTAACATCATCAGTGCAGCCTCCGATGAAGCGCTATTATGTTTTCCAGCCTGTTATTTAAACTCTGGTGTCCATTGAGCTGGGTTACCTCACTTCTGGTTTTCCCTCGCAATGAAGTGTATATGGGGTCTAGCTCTGTCTGTTTATTGATGGCTTTCTTAGTAGAGAACGAGGCTTCTAGGAATTCCCGTGCTTTTGTCTGGTTTGCCTGTCCGAGGATCCTGGTGTTGTCCCAGTCGAATTGGTGATTTTCCTTATCCATGTGGATGGAGATGAGTGAGTGTTGGTCGTGTCTTTTTGTTGCCAGTTAATGTTTGTGTATCCTTTTGGTTAATTTTCTTCCTGTTTGTCCAATGTAATGTTTGTCGCATTTTCTGCAGGGAATCTTGTATATGACATTAGTCCTGTCTGTAGTGGGTCTTTGGTTCAGGTGAGCAGTTGGTGTAGGCTTGATGTGGGTTTGTGTGCTACTCTGATGCCCAGTGGTCGTAGGAGACTTGTGGTTAGTTCAGATGTGTTCTTGATGTAAGGTGGTGTGATGAGTGTCTCGGGGCGTTTAGTATCTTCCTGGTGTAGTTCATGTAATAGACTGTTACCCAGCAGGGTAATGAAACATCTGCGGAACAACGAAGCAGCTCGGCGAGCCAGCCAGCCATGACATCCACATACCAACTACAAATCTACTCTAAAACCTTAGATATTGTTATTATTTTAATTAGGTTTATCGATAGGATGTGATGTCAAACTACTTTAATTGTAACAATAGCAAACAAGTTCCTGCTCAATAAATCAATTGGAAGTGGAGGCACTGTGTGGCATAGAATGTTCAATGCTGGGTGGGTTAATAATTGTACTTGTGTAGTTGAATAAAAACATTTTTGTTTTCCTTCTCCCATTGGAAAGATATGTTTCCACTGCAGAAAAACAGGGCATGGAATGGACCAGTGTCCAGAAATGGATAGAGATGAAGAAGAGAATGGAAATGGTATCTGTTACCGATGTGGCTCCACAGAACATGAGATCCAGAAATGTAGAGCAAAGGTTGACCCTGCTTTAGGTAAAAATTAGCATAGAATCTTATAAATGACTTTCTTCTGTGATAAGTGTAATGTCCATTGTAAAGAAACAACCCTTTTGAAACAGCTTTAATTATTTCTGGGGATGTAGTGCATTACTTTAACAGAAAATTCAGGTCTGTCTGTCTGTTTAATCTGGAGAGCTGTTGTTTAGTCAATGGACAGTCTTGTATACCAGCAACAACTATTTTTATGGCCTGTAGAAAAGTTCAGTCACCTGCTGAATGAAATGCTGGTTGGCTAAGGAGATCACAGACTTGTTCTGTAGATATTTCAGCGGTGTTATCTCACAGCTCTGGAGCAGGTGGGACTTTAACCAGGCCTCCTGACTGAGTGGTAGGGACACCAGCACTGCACCACAAGAGCCCTTTCAGGCTTCTTCTGTCGGAAGGACAATCGTTTGATGCGATTGAATCTGTTTCCACTGAGGTACCCTAATGATATGTATTTTATAGTGTGCTTACTGTCCCGACCCTGCACATGCAGGTAGTCGGTATTAGTCTTTGTGCTAATCAAAGTAATTTAATGTGCCCTTGATCATTTTATGCCATAATCTATATGTACCTCCCCTTGATAATGCAGCAGTGACAAGGTGGTAATGTTACTGGACTAGTAATCCATGGCACCATGTAATTATGCTGGGGACATGGGTTAAAATCCCACTGTAGCAGATGGTAAAATTTGAACATAATAGAAATCTTGAATAAAAAGCTAACCTAATAGCAATCGCTGTCGATTTATTATAAAAATCCATGAGGTTCATTAATATCCTTTAAGGAAGGAAATCTGCTGTCTTTACCTGTTCTGGCCTACAAATGATTCCAGACCCACAGTAATGTGGTTGACTCTTAACTGTTTTCTAAGAAATTGAGGATGGGCAATAATTGCCAGCCTAGTCAGTGATGCTCACATCCCATGAAGAAATTATAAAAAAAAAAGTAGACAGCATGTTAAACTCCTGTGAATTTTTAACTTAAAGTAACAATTTGACATTACTGGAGTTTGAGAAGTAGATGTAAAAGAAAGATTGTGATGCTGCAGGCCTAGGTAACCATGAAAGAGTATCACAATCAAACCAAACCTGTCCACATCCAGAACCACAGCAATGTGATTGACTCTTAACTGCCCTCTGCAATGGTCTAACAAGCAAATCAGTTCAAAGGCAACTATGGACAATAAATGCTGGCCAGCAAGTGATGTACACATCCCACAAGTGAATAAAAGAAAATCCTAGATCCATTCTTAGCACCACATGGACTGAAGCAGTTCATGAAGATTGCTCACCACCAGCTTCTCAAGGACAATTAAGAACAGGCAGTCAATGCTGGCCCAGGCAGTGATGTCCATATCCCCAGGAAGAATAAGAAAAAGAGAATGGTTTCTGAACTGGAGACATTCTTGATTGCATATTTACTTGTGGGCTTCTATTCCCAATTGAACCATCACGTCAGGTACGCAATTGAAAGAATTGGAGATTCTTGAATCGTTCAGAACAGCAGTGACTGTAGTCTGTAAATTTCTGGGAAACAAATTGATAGAACGTGACTCATTGCCAGTAATTAGTAAGTTTGTAGGCTGTAAATTTAGCTCTGTGTGTAATGAAATGCTATTGTGGTGCTAAAGGAAGTACTTTGCTGACAAGAATATTGTAAGAGTAATGTGGAGTGAGCTGTTTATTGCTCTGACTCTGGTGTGACTGACTTGTGAATACTTTATCTCGCAAGCAAGAAGCAAATGTGTTCCATTGTCTGCATTGAAATGTACAAATGAAAACTAAATTGACTGTGATAATTTCTTTTGTTGTTAATTGCTGATGTGAGTTGAATCCTTTGTAAACACAATAACTACAAAGCTGATATTCTCTAAATCTAATACTCCAAAATTTCTTTCGGTTCCCTATGAACACAGCGCAATTTGTTTTTCTGTTTTAGTTTTTGTGCTTATTGAGTAGAGGGGTGGCAAAGCTGAGGAGCAAAATACATTGTTTTAATTTTGTCCTTCAAACGTTATTTCAAACACTCCTAGAATTTCATAGAATCCCTACAGTATGGAAACAGGCCCTTCGGCCCAACAAGTCCACACCGACCCTCACAGCATTCCACCCAAACCCATCCCACTTCACCCACCTAACCTACACATCCCTAAACACTAGGGACAATTCAGCTTGGCCAGTCCACCTAGCCTGCACATCTTTGGTAAAGGACTCAGTACCGTCCTCAGTAAAGGGCTTGCCTTTATTTCCCTCTGGCCTAACATCAACGAATACCACTCACGCTTGGACTTTGAACAGTTTTTCCTCTGCCGCCTCTGCCTCCACGCTTACTTCTTTAATCGTGAGCCCAACCCTCCCTCTACTGACCCCTTCTCCCGCCTCCAACACACCCCCTCCTGGACACCACCCCAAGGCCTCCTACCCTCCCTCGACCTCTTCATCTCCAACTGCCGTCGAGACATCAATCGCCTCAACCTCTCCACCCCTCTCACCCATTCCAACCTCTCCCCCACAGAACGTGCAGCCCTCCGCTCCCTCCATTCCAATCACAACCTCACCATAAAACCTGCGGACAAGGGAGGCGCAGTTGTAGTATGGCACACTGACCTCTACATCGCCGAGGCCAGGCGCCAACTCTCCGGCCTCCCACCACCCCCTTGATCATGACCCCACCCCCAACCACCAAAACCTCATATCCCAAACCATCCACAACCTCATCACTTCAGGTGACCTCCCACCCACAGCCTCTAACCTCATCATTCCCCAACCCCGCACCACCCGTTTCTATCTCCTTCCCAAAATGCACAAACCTGACTGCCCTGGTCGTACCATTGTCTCCATCTGCTCCTGCCCCACCGAACTTATCTCTACCTATCTTGACTCTATTTTCTCCCCCTTGGTCCAGGAACTCTCCACCTACGTCCGTGACACCACCCACGCCCTCTACCTCCTCCAAAACTTCCAATTCCCTGGTCCTCAACACCTCATCGTTACCATGGACGTCCAGTCCCTATACACTTGCATTCCCCATGCAGATGGCCTAAAGGCCCTCCGCTTCTTCCTGTCCCGTAGGCCCGACCAGTGCCCGTCCACTGACACTCTCATCCGCTTAGCCGAACTTGTCCTCACCCTTAACTTTTCCTTCAATTCCTCCCACTTCTTACAGACAAAGGGAGTGGCCATCGGTACCCGCATGGGCCCAAGCTATGCCTGCCTCTTTGTAGGATACGTGGAACAATCCCTCTTCCGAAGCTACACTGGCCCTATCCCCCACCTCTTCCTCCGTTACATCGATGACTGTATTGGCGCTGCCTCGTGCTCCCACGAGGACCTTGAACAGTTCACCCACTTCACCAACATCTTCCACCCCAACCTTAAGTTCACCTGGACCATCTCTGATACCTCTCTCTCCTTCCTGGACCTCTCTGTTTCCATCCCTGGCAATCACCTGGAAACCGATATCCATTTCAAGCCAACCGACTCACACGGCTACCGAGAATACGCCTCCTCCCACCCACCTTCCTGCAAAAACGCCATCCCCGGTCCCAATTCCTTCACCTCCGTCGCATCTGCTCCCTGGATGAGGCATTCCACTCCTGGCCATCCTGGATGTCCTCATTTTTCAAGGACCGCAACTTCCCCCCAACAGTGGTTGAAAACGCCCTCAACCGCGTCTCCCGCATTTCCCGCAACTCATGCCTCACACCCCCTCCCCGCAATAATAACCAAAACAGAATCCCCCTCGTCCTCACGTACCACCCCACCAACCTCCAAATCCAACGCATCAACCTCCAGCACTTCCGCCATTTGCAATCTGTGACCACTACCAAAGACATTTTATCCTCCCCCACCCTTATCTGCCTTCCGGAGGGACCAGTCTCTCCGTGACTCCCTCGTCCGCTGCACACTCCCCACCACCCCCGGCACTTTTCCCTGCAACCGCAGGAAGTGCTATACCTGCCCCTATACCTCACCCCCATCCCAGGCCCCAAGAAGACTTTCCATATCAAACAGATGTTCACCTGCACATCTGCTAAGGTGGTATACTGTATCCGCTGTTTCCGATGTGGCCTCCTCTACATTGGGGAAACCAAGTGGAGGCTTGGGCACCACTTTGTGGAACACCTATGCTCGGTTCCCAACAAACAACTGCACCTCCCAGTCGCGAACCATTTCAACTCCCCCACCCACTCCTCAGAATACATGTCCACCGTGGGCCTCCAGCAGTGCCACAACGATGCCACCCGAAGTTTGCAGGAACAGCACCTCATATTTTGCTTGGGAACCCTGCAGCCCAATGGTATCAATGTGGACTTCAAGCTTCAAAATCTCCCCTCCCCCGACCACATCCCAAAACCAGCCCAGCTTGTCCCTACCTCCCCAACCTGTCCTTCCTCCCACCTATCCCCTCCTCCCACCTCAAGCCCCACCCCCACCTCCTACCTCCTAGCCTCATCCTGCCCCCTTGACCTGTCCGTCCTCCCTGGACTGACCTATCCCCCCTAACCCCAACACCTACACTCACCTTTACTGGCTTCACCCCCATCTCTTTGACCTGTCTGTCTCCTCTCCACTTATTTTCTCCTTTATCCATCTTCTAGCCGCCTCTCCCTATTTATTTCAGAATCCCCTTCCCCTCCCCCATTTCTGAAGAAGGGTCTAGACCCGAAACGTCAGCTTTCCTGCTCCACTGATGCTGCTTGGCCTGCTGTGTTCATCCAGCTCTACACCTTGTTATCTCAGATTCTCCAGCATCTGCAATTTCTACTATCTCTGCACATCTTTGGACTGCGGGAGGAAATCGGAGCACCCGGAGGAAACCCACACAAACATGGAGAGAATGTGCAAACTCCACACAGTCATGCGAGGGTGGAATCGAACCTGGGTCCCTGGCGCAGTGAGGCAGCAGTGCTAACCACTGAGCCACTGTGCCATCCTCTCTCACTCCTAACTCAGTCATAATATCTAGAAACAAAGTAAACTGCTCCTTCCCTAAACTAGCCAGTTTCCTTCAATTCACAATCTAAGCAGAATATTCCATTCTTCGCCACTGTGACATTTTTCTTTACTCCCAGACAATGCATAGCGTCTTTACATGAGAATGAGCTCGTTTGTCGGTAGTGTTGCCGTGTGGGTTCATGATCCATTGGAAATTTATTGAAATTGTCATCACAGCTATCAGTTACAGAGAGAGAGGTTTCTTTTATATAACTTGGTCATATTCAAGCCCAATGATGATTGGACAGATTGCTAACTCACTTAAGTATCATGTTCCTTGTTCTCGTGCATTTCTGAAATCATTCCTTAACGTTTCTGATAAAATTACTTTGCTTCAATTTTACAGGAGAATTTCCATTTGCAAAATGTTTTATCTGTGGTGAAATGGGGCATCTTTCAAGATCCTGCCCTGATAACCCGAAGGGACTATATGCAGATGGTAAGTATGTGGATTTTAAAAGCTAAGTTTTACATTGCACCACATCTGTTGTTCAGCTTCACTTATAAGACTGAAGGTTTGTTGCAGGCTTTAATATGTCGTAAATCCAGGTTAGGACACAGCAACACTTATAATCTTTAACACTTGTAATCTTTCTCCTCGTTAAATGGACCATGTGTTGAGAATGCTGTCCCCATGCTAAAGCATGCTTCCTGCTCTGTCGTGTCAATATTCATCACCTTTTTATTAAGTCTTAACAATTTGTCAGGAGCCACTCATGCTCGAACACAGTGGGCCATGAAGATAGTGGAAGTTTAAAACTGTGAAATGTGACACTGATTCTTGATTCCAAATGTGCTTCTCTGGGCAGTTGCTAAGCAAATGCTAGGCATCTCCCACCAAAGGAGCAAAGATTTACTGGATTGGTACTTGCATTAATGCTGTAAATGTCATCCTTGGAAGTAACAGTGAATTCCAGTTCTGCAGAAATGTAGAATCAGAAGTATACCAAGTAGAAGATAGGAAATCTGCAAAGGACAACTGATAGAGAAAACAGATCTCAGCATCATAAAGTCATAATCTACTTCATTTATAAATTCCATAATTAATTTCTATAAATTTCTCTCTTAAAAATTTTGAACTGTAAACTGTTTGTGCATATCATATAATTTGTAGTTTTTAAAATGCATTTACTAGTAGAGATTCAGGATAGAATTTTCCCCTTCCTGTTGTGGCATGAGCAATGATAAGAAATTTGGGGAAGTACAGAGAGAATGAAAAAAATCAGAATCTCAATGGAGAGAAAATGGTTTGCAGTTTTCCCCTTGAGCTTTAAATGGTGATTTCAGATCCTTGCTGTTAACTTAAAGCTAACATATTTACATGCATTTGCATCTCATTCATACCACAACCTACCCTTATTTATATGCCACTACCAATGTTCTTCTCCTTCCCCAAGAAACTAGATGGCTTAAATTCCTGACATGCAAGTCAGAGTGAGCAGATACCTGGTAGCTGCAACTTGCTGACTTCTTGTCCCAGCTATCATTCAACAGTGTCTTTTGTACAACACCCCTGCATTCAACATGGATACCATCCTCCTCAACCCTTTTGTCGACAAGAGTCAGCATTGGCATACCGCCACTTTCGCCACATCATTATGCTGCCTCTTGGTCCAACTCAAGACACCATTTCATGACCTCAACTCCGTACTTTGCATTCTAGAAGACCTCCAACTTCCAATGCACCTTATTGCTTTTAGCTTGCTTTCTTAGCAGTCACCAAACATACTTTCCGTAATTGCTGATTATTATCCTTACAACCTTTCTTGAACAAGGCCATAATGCTCGTAATTCTTCATTCTTCTGATACTTCCCCTAATTCCAGGGCAATGTCCCCACAATTTCTAGCCTCCTTTCAAAATCTTTGGAAACATTTCATCTAGTCCCAGTGGCTTGTCAACTTTAAGTAGAAACAGTCTGTCCAAGGCTTCTTCCTTGTTAATTTTGAACCTTTTTACTGACAGAGTTTCCTCTTGTGTCACCATGGCCCAGGGAACATCTCCCTCTTTTATAAAGACAGATGTTAATTGCTACCTCCTTTTTCATCCAAGGAGCTCTCCATTTGTTTGTCCTACTTTTCTATTAGAGGGAGTATACCTGAACTGTACTTGAACCATTTGCTCTTTGAGAGTGACCCATTATTTAATTACTGATTTTCCTGCCAACCTCTTGTACCAGTCAATCCTGCCCAGTTCTGCTCTTGCCTCATCAAAGTCAGCTCTCCACCAATTGATTTTTCGTACTCCTCACGAACATCCTGAACCATATGATCAGTGTCTCCTAAATGCTCCCTTGCCCTTGATCACTTGGCCCACCTCGTTTCCAAGGACAAAATTCAACAATGCGTCCTTTCTTGTTGGACTGGAAACGCTGCTGTGGGAAGCTCTCTTAAACATGTTCTGGGAATGCTCATCCCTCACTACCTCTTACGCAACCACAATCCCAGTCTACAGTTAGGGAATTAAAGTTCCCCTGGCTGCATTTTACATCCAGATTTGTTGATGTGGCTTCCTGTGGAGGTCAGCTGGAAAAAGGACAGACCCTCTTTCCAGCATCCCATCCACCAGCATCTCTAGGTCCTGTCCCCAAAGCAAGGAGTGAGCTTTCCTTTTTGTGCCAGAATGGTCCAGCAGCACAATGTGAGGGCTAATTCCTGTAGTGTGGGCAGGTAGGTTTTATGGTACCAATAGCATAAACATGCGAATGTACCAGCAATGGCGAATACTTGCACTTTCCTGCTGCACAATTCCATGAGAAGGATACCAAAGAACTGGTTGCATAATTACTGAGGTTAAGAGCAGAAAATTGCCAGAGAAAAGTCGCTCTAAGCCAATGGCGGGCTGGGTTCCACAAATGCTATTCACAAAGTCATGTCGATTGCAAAGAGTTTTGCTCTTGATGTTCAACTTTTAATGTTTTTTTCCTACAGAGTCAAACAGCATATAATATTCCTTTTATGATAGGACTTAAACTCTCAAAATTTAGTTTTACCCTGCAGCTGGCAGATAAACTTGTTATTAAGATGACAAGTTTAAATCACTGTTTCTGGGTTGAGGACTTCCTTGATAATTTAGTAATGTTCCTGGCAGTTTATTCTAGATGTTCATACCGACTGGTTTGATCTTGCACTCCTGGTCTTTTTTGGCTGGCTTTCTATTCACCGGTTGTGTCGATGAAGAGTGTTGACAGAGTGTAAAACAATCAGTGCACTTATTAAAATCGAATTTCTCACTTGCTGCAGTGCCTTGATAGTGACTAATTTAAAAAACTCTCTAGAAAGCAGGAACTGTTATTTCAATACGTGAGTTGACTCTACAACGCACCACTGCCTCTGTGCACCAACACAATTAGTGTCCGGGTCATGGAAGCCAAAAACGGGAGAGTACGAGATAGGAGCCGGAAAGGGGTGAACAGCTGGCACAAGGAGAAAGAGAGGGGGATAACTGACAGAGTGTATCATCAATTTTTACACTGAACAGCAACTACAGCATTCTCAGTGAAAGCAACAATCAGAGACTCCATTGCAGTACAGGAATTTAACAATGAATAGGTATTGAAATTATAACTAATAATACTTCGAATTACAATTGAGATCACCACCTATCAATCAGACAGATAAATTTCATACAAACTCTATCTGCTTTGTTATTTTGTCATATTGCCTGATATTACTTGGCTGTCAGACCAAAACAGGACTTGAACCACATGTTGCCAAAAATCACATTAACGTGAACAGTGAAAACCTAAAAAGTGCCACAGAACTTGCAATTTTATAGCACAGGAGGAAGCTATTCAGCCCATCATCTTTATGCCAATCCTTTCAGACAGTTTTCCATTGCATCCTACTGCTGTGTACCCGTTACGCTTTTTTTTAGTAGAACCAAGTGTATTCTTTCTCTCTAGCTCCCCCTCTCCACTAGCACAACGTATCTTTAAATGTTTACCCCAGTTGCCAGTATGGCAATTGATATACTTTATAAAGGTTAGGTTCAAAACAAAAAGATCCATCAACAGGTTTTGTTAAATGACAAAATTATTGATTTATTATAAAAACAATACTTGACAAAGTTGCAAAGTTGACGAACAAGTAAAAAAATGAAAATATAATTTTTTTTGTATTAGTCTTCTAAAGAAATCAAAACAAGCACACACCAGTTGAAGGAAAAACTTTCTCTGCAGCGATTAGCCTTTTAAAAAAAACGCAACCAAATAATTGTTAATTCTCTAAGGAAAGCCTAAGATCCAAAGTACTTCAAATGGCTTTTGGTCCGGCTTCTGCTACATGTAGATGCTCACCTGGGCACAGAAGATCAGTACCAGACACATGTGGTTGATCCTGGGATATCTTCTGATGCAATTCAATCAGGAGATGTTAAGATGAAATCTTGTAGAAAGTCTACATGTGGGAATTATGAGGGAACCAAATGTAATTTCTCTAAGTTTGCAGGCGACACAGAGCTGAGTGGCAGAGTGAACTGTGAGGAGAATGCAGAGATGCTTCAGTGTGATTTAGAGAAGTTGAGTGAGTGAAACAATGTATGGCAGATGAAGTATAATGTAGATCAATGTGAGGTTATCCATTATAGTAGGAAAACTGGAAGGCAGGTTATAATCGGAATGGCAATAGATTGGGCAAGGGGAAAGTGCAGCCAGACCTGGGTGCCCTTGTACGTCAGTCGCTGAAAGTAAGCATAAAAGTGCAGCAGGTGATGAAGAAGGCAGATAGTATGTTGGCCTTCATAGTGAGAGGATTTGAATTCAGTAGCAGAGAATGCTGCAGTTGTACAGGGCCTTGATGAGACCACACCTGGAGTATTGTGTGCAGTTTTGGTGAGGAAGGCTGTGCTGACGATGGAGGGAGTGCAATGAAGGTTTACGAAACTGATTCCTGGTATGGCAGGACTGGCATATGAAGAGAGACTGGATTGCTTAGGACTGTACTCGCTGGAGTTGAGAAGAATGAGGGGGGAATCTTACAGAAGCTTGTAAAATTCAAACAGGGCTAGACAGTGTAAATGCAAAAAGGATGTTCCCAGTGATTGGAGAGTCCAGAATCAGAGTTACAGTCTCAGGATATGAGGTAGGCCGTTTACGACTGAGATGAACAGAAATGTCTTCACTCAGAGAGTGATAAGCCTGTACAAATATCTGTTACAGAAAGTGACTGAGGCCAACATCTTCAAGAAGGAGTTAGATGTAGACTTTACACATTCTGACATTTTTACTGTTTTCAAACCTTACCGTTCCACATTTCAGTCAGCCTAGAGCTCAAAGCTGTGGAGCCTGTAGTGCCCAGTTAAGCCAAAATTACAAGCATGGTGACAGGTTCATGGTGGATATGAGCACTCTGGTGTTGCTTCTGGATATAGGCAAAGCCAAAGTGGGTGTGGTTCAAGTTATGGACAAACACAGTCAGGATTGAATTCTTAATCGTCAAAA